TTTATGAATGCATGTTTCACCTCGGACTGTGGCCTCCTTTTTTGCTTTACCGGTTTGAACCTGGGGTCGAGGCTTAACCGATGTGTTGTTATTTCCGTTGGAATCCTGTCATATCTATGTGGGACCAAGCAAATCAATCCATATTATCAACAAGAAATTGAATGAGTTTTTTCCTGAGTTTGGGGGTTAATCCCGTTCCCGGGTATACCTTTCTCTCGGGCATGTATTCGATCAATATGACCTGCTCCAGTTCCTCGATAGTTGATTTGGTTGCATCGGACTCTTTTGGAATGATGAAGGTTCGAGGAGTAAGGAAGTCCTCTTCCTCATCTTCGATTACCTGTTGCTCCGATTCCGTCGAGGCTGGGGGCGATGATTGCTATTTATCCGCATGCTTACCTTTGATGCTCGATTTCTCCGAGGTCGAAGGCTCTGGTATCGGTGTCACTTCATCAACTGCAAATATTTCCTTCGCAGCATGTTGCTCTCCGTAGACCATTTTCACACCATCCTCCATTAGGAACTTCATCATTTGATGAAGAGTTGAAGGTACCGCCCTCGTGTTGTGTATCCATGGTCTCCCGAGGAGTGCATTATACCTCATGTCACCTTCGATGACATAGAATTTTGTATCTTGTATGGTCTCGGCTGCGTTGATTGGCAGGATTATCTCCCCTTTTGTTGTTTCGCTTGCCATGTTAAAGCCATTTAAGACCGGGGATGCAGGTACAATCTGATCATGTAGTCCGAGTTGTTCTACGACCCTCGATCTAATTATGTTCGTTGAGCTACCTGGATCCACTGGAACACATTTAACTTGAATTTTATTTAAAAGGATAGAAATTACCAGGGCGTCATTGTGCGACTGAGATATGCCTTCTGCTTCCTCGTCATAGAATGATAAGGCATCCTCGGGCACATAGCTCCGAATCTGTTTTTCTCTGGTGATCGATACCTTGGTGCGTTTGAACACAAGTCTTTACGGGACATCGACACTGCCAACGATCATGTGGATTACATGTTATGGCTCTTCCTGCTCATTTTTTCTTGCATCTCTCTCCCTGAAGTGGTTTTTAGCTCCATCACTGAGAAATTCTCGAAGGCGGCCCTCATTGAACAACCAAGCTACCTCCTCCCATAACTGCCTGCAATCTTCGGTCCTGTGGAAATGTGTGCCATGATACTTACATATTAGGTTTGGATTCCTTTGAGAAGGATCAGTTTGTATGGCCTGGGCCATCTGGTATCTTTGATTCTTCCAATAGCTGACATAATCCCTCATGCGTCTACACTGAAATTATACTCTGACAATCGAGGTGCCTCTGCGGGGTCGGAGTGCTTATCTAACCCGCTCTTACTCATGAGCTCTCGAGAGCTTTGACCTCGATCATTTCTCTGATCATTTCGAGGAGAGTTACGACCCGAATCGTTGTTTCTCCGATCGACATATGGCTGATACCCTCCCTTGTTCGATCTTGATTCCCTGTCTGTATCCCTCGGGGTTCGGTTGCCAATCTATTAGGATGAACTGAGCCCGAGGGGGCTCCCAACTGGTCGTCCTCGACCCTGATCTTCGATTGGTAACGGTTATGTACGTCCGACCATGTCACGGCTGGGTACTCGATCAAATTCTGCTTTAATTATCGAGACGCGATCGAACTCCTCTCGTTCAAACCCTACATAAAAGCTTGTATCGCCCAGTCATCCGAGACCGATGGTAATTCCATTCGCTCCATCTGAAACCTAAACACGAACTCCCTCAACATCTCGTCGTTCCTTTGTTTTATCTTGAATACATCTGATTTCCTCGTTGCCACCTTTATGGCCCCGGCGTGTGCTTTCACGAAGGCGTCTACTAACATAGCAAACGAATCAATAGAGTTAGGAGGCAAATTATAATACCAAATCATGGCTCCTTTCGACAAAGTTTCCCCAAATTGTTTCAACAACACAGACTCGATCTCATCATCATTCAGGCCGTTTCCCTTAATCCCACAAGTATACGAGGTAATATGCTCATTAGGGTCGGTTGTCCCGTTATATTTGGGTATATCTGGCATGCGAAACTTTTTAGGAATAGGCATCGGAGCCGCGCTTTGAGGGAATGGTTTTTGTGTGAACTTTTTGGCATCTAAACCCTTCAAGACTGGAGTGCCCCCGGTATCTGGTCAACACGGGAGTTATAAGTTTCCGCCTTTTTTTCGTTGTCTTCAATCTTCTTTTCCCCGGACTCGATCCTCCCGGTGAGCTCTTCGAGCATTTTTATAATAGTGGGGTCAGTCCCCGAGCCATTTTCATTTGACCTCTCTGGGCTGGTTCAACACGTCGAGTGTTTTCCGGTTCAGCTATACTCCGAGTTTTGTTCTGACTCTGAAGTTGAGCGATGGCGATTAGCTGAGCTTGCAGCATCTCGAATATCACTTGGAGGTTGACTCCCCCATCTCCCATTCCTGGTGTTCCTTGGCATCCAGATCGGGCTTCCCTGCGTACACTCCTTCCGGGGTCTGTGCCTAGATCTGCATATAAAGCAATGATGCGAACTAACGTCAACTGGTTCCACATTTGGCATTTCCCTTGGGTTTATCGGTGGTACACCGACCCCTACATTGTTGTTTTCCCTATGAAATTCAAGACCTTCGTTGTCATGAATAGGTGTATTTTGCGAGTTTGACATGTTTAATCCTGAAAATCAGAAAATCTTGACAAGAAAAAGTGTAAAAATAACGTGTGTAATGAGAATCGATAATGAAATAATCACTATTATCTTTAGCCCCACGGTGGGCGCCAAACTGTTTACCTCGAAAATATGAGTAACAATTAAATTTGATTTGTGGTTTTAAAGATATGTGATTTAGTTCAATACAATTAGTATTCAAGAAGTATAAAGTATAGATTAAAGAAATGAATGAATGAATCAAACCAATGTTACCAAACAGTATCGGCCTCGAGTTTGGTGACCTCAAGATGAACCAAGAACAATAAAATAAGAACAGTAAAGAGAAAAGACAAGTCTGATGATCAATGAGCCAGAAAGATAAGATAGTATATTCATTGCCAATAATTAGATGATGTTTACAATGATTGGGGTCCCCTTTATATAATAGGGGAACCCTAAATAAGGTATATTTCCATATACAGTAAGGAATCTTATTGGGACAGCTGTCTAACCGCCTAGTACGGAATCATACAATTCTATTCTGGGATTTACGCCACGATTTTTGGGACGTGGCAGGAATCTCGCTCATTCTGTTAGAAATCCATAATGGTATTATTTCGGGCTCGAGCATACTCGGCTTCGGTATTCATCGTACTTCAATCATCGGGCCATTGCATCCTATCTTCGAGCTCGAGTCTGGTCCATCGGGCTCGAACTCGACCTTGCCTGAACTCGGTCTTAAGACGATCCCTCGAGCCTATTGATCGAAGGCATATGATTTTAACCGTATACACTAATGAAACAGGAGAAGGATATATTTTATGGTCAATACAGGTTGTAATATGGTGCTTTGTATAGCAGAAAATTTGAGAAACTTATGTGTACGCCAATGTGTTCTTGAGATTTAATCAATAATGTCCAATCGTATAATTAATTTGGAGTCGCTTTTATTAAGAAGAGATTACCCCGTAATATATGAGATTTTTCAGTGCAAAATTTAAATTTAACAAATTCTCAACACGGATATCAAATACCGAATGGAAAATCAAAGAAAAACCCTATACGAATAACCACCGTCTAAATTGTTCAGCGCAATTCTCAGACCATCTGGAAAAGGAAAAGGTTATGCTTTTTAACAAACATGGATTAGTTTTAAAAGTCTAGAAGGTGTTGTAAAAAGTAGAAACATCCACTTGTCTGAATTGTTATGAACACAGTGTTGATAATCATGATTTCCAACCCTTAAAGAAGTTAAGCAATCATTATACTTGCATTTAGATTTGCGTGTTTATGTTCGAATCATCTAGGTTAATCTCAAGTACAAATTAAGTGATCATCAAGATATTAAGGCAAAAGTGATAATCCTTTCATCACAACTCACAATATTACACCAGAAAACTGATGTATTTTATCAATAAGGTTTGTGATGGGTATTATAAGGCAAGTAATGCAAGTGCTTTAGCCCCAAAATTTTAAGGATCTCATTTTTCACTAGTAATAGATTTATGAATTAATTTATTAAAAAAATTAAATATTTTAAAGTAAAAATAGTATAATTGTTTTAATAAAACTAAGAAAAGAAACTTCAGAATATATTTAAACAATTCAGAACGTATGAAAATATTTTTGGTTTCCTATTTAGAGGTTAAAAATTTGATATAACTAGGTGATGAGAATTTAAAAAAAAATATTGCCTTAACCGTGAAAAATCTTAAATTATAAGTCACTTTGATATTGATGGTTTAGACTTATCCTTCAAATTAAAAGTGTTAAGAAAAATAAAACAAGTAAAATGTAACTCTAGTCGATATACTTAATCGGATGAAGATTTGCTTCTTTTTCAAATATATTTATTTCTTATAGAATAATACATGTGTGTGTGTATAGTGTAAATGTTCAATAGAAGAAGCAAGTTATAAATAACTCCGCATCTCAAAAAGTTAGGGAAATATCCAAAATATGTAGTCTTTTTGAAAAAGGAATTTAAGGTATCTTATCAAGATATGACTTTAAGTCACGTTGAGACGTACTATGTGTTAGAATGGTATGTACTTTTTATTCTTAACCAGAAGTTTCAGCCTAATGTATGAAATCGTTTTTGTTATGCAGGATTTTACTCTCAATATGAAATCTCTCGACGTAAATTTAAATATAAACGGTACCTAACATCGGGTGCGAAAAAAAAATAAAGAACTTTCACTCATGAACAGTCCCTTTGGCCCTACATGTACCCTTTCGTCACTGTCCTACTACATTTTTTTTTCTTTAAAATTTTTATTAGCTAAATAGCACTACTACTATTCTGCTAAAATACGCTTTCCCACCATATCTTTGAATTCTTTATAAACAGCTAAGAAAACCAAAGTTAAATTCATTCACCTCTCTACTTGAACTGTTTCTAACCTTTTTCCCTCTGAACAAAAATGGGAATAATTCCATGTCCTTTGCCCTGCCAATCCAAGAAAAAATCAACAGATTCTGATCAATCTCATCCTACATATCTTCACTCAGATTCTTCTTCTTCATCATCATTAAAATCATCTAATTCTTCCCTTCACTCACAGCCAAGTTTACCATCAGTTCCTTCTTTAACTCCACCTTCTACTCAAACAGAACTTTTCTCAAACACCTACTGTGCAGCCACTTTTAAAGGCAATTCCTCTTATATTTTCTGCCTATCACTCTCTGGAAAATACCTTTACACCGGCAACTCCAACGGAGAAATCCTCTTATGGAACAGAGATCCTTTAAATCATTCAACAGAATACATAGTAGTAGCACAGAGTAGCAGTTCTGTTAAATCCATAGTCATTTTCGGGGATAAGCTCTTTAGTGCTCACCAAGATCACAAAATTCGGGTCTGGAAAATTGACAACGACGCACCAAATCAGAATTATAAGTGCATGGCCACTTTACCGACACTTAATGATCGGTGTATGAGATTATTCAGCGCAAAAAACTACGTTGAAGTCCGCAGAAACAAGAAATGTACGTGGGTACACCATGTTGATACAGTTTCAGCTTTAGCCTTGTCAATAGATAGTTCACTGCTGTACTCTGCATCTTGGGACAGAACTTTCAAAGTTTGGAGAACGTCGGATTTCAAATGCCTTGAATCAGTCTTGAACGCTCACGATGACGCGATAAACGCAATAGCTCTATCGAAAAATGGGTATGTCTAGATATTACAAATGAAACGTTTTTTTTTAATTCCCACACGGCAGTATTCCATTAGGATCCCTACTAAGTAAAGGGAAACGGGGTAAAAATGGGTCTAATTAAATAAAGGATATATGATCAAATTCATCCTTAGGGGCAAAATGGATCAAATTATATCTCTCAAACTCCAAATTTTTTGGATTTAGATTGCATTTTGACTAGTGATTACACTATTTTGACATGTTTTGGTCCACAAGTTTTATTGGGTCATTTCGAGTTTAACCCGTTCAGTCAAGTCAACAAACGGATCATAACTCAATCAGTTTAAACTTGATTAGAATTAGATAGGTTACTAAAAAATTGGTTGATTTTGTCTTTCAGGTATGTATATACTGGTTCAGCAGACAAGAAGATCAAAATATGGAAGAAAGAAGAAGGGAAAAAGAAATTACACAGCCTTGTGGCAACACTAGAGAAGCACAAATCAGCAGTGAATGCTTTAGCTCTTAGTACAGATGGGTCAGTTTTATACTCTGGTGCTTGTGACAGATCCATAATTGTATGGGAAAAAGATAGTGGTGGTAGTGGAAAAATGGTGGTGGCTGGAGCTTTAAGAGGACATACTAAGGCAATTTTATGTTTGGCTGTGGTGTCAGATTTAGTATGCAGTGGATCAGCAGATAAAACAGTGAGAATATGGAAGAGAGGAATTGGAAAAAGTTATTCATGTTTGTCAGTTTTTGAAGGACACAGAGGTCCAGTCAAATGTTTGACTGCAGCTTTAGATAGTAAGAATAGTAGTAGTAGGAATAAAGATGATTTTGGTTCTGGAAATTCTTATGTGGTTTATAGTGGTAGCTTGGATTGTGATATTAAGGTTTGGAAATTTTGGGTTCCATCCCTATAGAATTTATCTCTTTGATATCTTTGTCTCTTGTTCAGAGCCTCACACAGTTACACACTTACACTACAATAATTTTTTGTACATAGAAATGAGAGAAATCTTCATATTACCTTCTTTTTTCTTTCATTTCAATTTTCTGTTCTTCTTCTTTTTATATGAGCCTTTAGCCTCACATATCTTATTGACCAGTTTGCTTATTAACCTATGATAGATATAAGCTCAAACTTGTATTCATAACTCTCAGTACTTCTGCAAAACATATTCAGCTTCACAGTATTTAGTTAAACTTCAAGTTGTGTGTTATGAAGTTGGTGAGTTGATGGCAATTACCAATTATATGTGTATCTTTGAGGTCTATGAACTTCGCTCTAGCCTATTATAGGTAAAAAAAATATTTATTTGATTTACTATAAACACAGAAGGGGAGCCTTGGCGTAACTGGTAAAGTTGCTGCTTTGTGACCAGGAGTTCACGGGTTCGAGCCGTGAAAATAGCCTCTTGCAGAAATACAGGGTAAGGCTGCTTATGATTTACTATAAACACTGAGTGTGAGTAAATGTTACTCATTTTATGCTTACGAAGCTGGAACAATATCTTTTAAAAGAAAGGCAATGAAAGTTTTCGCATTCACTGCTCGTAAGTTGCATTGATTTGTCGATAGCCTCATCGTCACCCATGAACTAGATATTTTTGCGTGTTTGATCAAAGTGGTTAACAATTTCAAAGTTCTATAACCTTCTACTTATTGTCAAAAGAAAAAAGAATAACATTTTACCAGGACCAATCACGAATAAAAGAAAGAAGATTTATATTTGTTACTTGGACCATAGCGACCGGAAGTGATCTTGACATGCATTTTAAGCATTTAAATTTGACAATTGGTAGAAAGAAGAGATTATGAAAATTACATCTCACCAAAAGAAGTGTTTTTTAAATATCATTTCCTTCTCCAGGTGATTCAAACACAAAATTGTTTATACCACTTGCCATCTTCAGATTAAAATATTGATTCATGATTAAATATCCACCTAAGTTTAATGCGTTTCTTTATAGGCTAATGAGATCAGATCTCCTTAATTCATTAATCGATTCGAAGTTAGGCTAAAAACAATTTCTCCTTACAATTTTACCTAGTAGCCCTTGCTGTAGCATAAATATGAAAAATTAAAAGAAGTCGTCATACTTTAAAACTATTTAGTAGATAAAGAATAAGCAGATCTTTAAGCAGGGGTGGATACACTTTTCGTCAAATTTTTTATAATATATATACATGTTTATATATATGTATGACACCGTTTATGATTATACTAATTCATTCATTCATTCATTTCTTTAGATGTTAATACCGCTTATCAAAAATTTTGTGTACGCGACTGACGTTAAGAGACAAAGAACAAAACCCATGATATATACTCAAGAAGAAATAAAAGCTTAATAAAAACATTTAGAAGAAATAAAAGCTTAATATAAACATTCTTCTTATTTTTTATTTTTTTTTACTTTATCTACAATTTACCAACCTTATATTTCGTGTGCACATATTAACCAGCCACGTCGATTGTAAGTTGGTTAAAAAGTGCTCAACCAATCTAATTGTGCCGCCATTTAGATCAATATTTTATTTTATATCCGCCTTAACATAGATCATATATTACTTTAGGGCAAGATTTTACTTTATCTCCACTTTATCAGATCATTTACTGTAGATATTCAGACAGATTCATCTACTAGATCTTCTTTTGTGGACAAAGAAGTTATCACCTGATACGAATATTAGTGGCTAAGGAGGAAGAAATTCAAATATCAGTTAGGCTACCATTTGAATTTTAGTTAAGTTCCTATTTGAATTTTAGCGGGAAAGTCAGTTAGTAGCTTTTCAAATTGTGTCATTCCTTTTGCATTTTTCAGCTTGTATAAGTAGTCCCTAGGATTTGTATACACACATTATGAAATATATGAAAATCTGAGTTCATCTCTCTCTCTTTCTCTTCTCTTCACTCTGTTCTATCCCTTCCATTCTCCTTCTTCCCCTTCTATTTCGTTACTGTTTCATTGCTATCAGCTGATACTCAATAATTGAGTATCAATTGGTATCAGAACTCGTAGACCATGGGACCTCGAAAGGGCGCCGAATCAACCTCGGGAGTTCCACCAACTGAACTGCAAGAGCAATATGAAGACTTAGCAGCCCAGTACTTAGATCTTCGCGAGGAGCTGATTCAAAAACAACAGGAATTACGTGACGATATGGATAAACGACATGTGGAGTTGCTCCACATGGTAAGTTCCCTCAAAAACTCCTTTGATGGTTGGAAACTTAATCAACAGTCGAGTGACGGTGCCTCAGCCTCTACTGGTAGAGATAAGGTGCCGCAATCGGGGCAAGGTATTTTAGGGCAAAATCCTCACTGTGTTAGCAGAAGTCATAATTTAGTTTTCCCTCGTTTCAATGGTGAAAACTTAAAAGCATGGCTGTATAGGATTGATCAGTACTTTGCTGAAGATGACACTCCTCTCAATCAGAGAGTGAGGCTAGTTGCCATGAATTTGGATGACGATGCCTTAGTTTGGCATCAATCCTATTTGAAATGCAGGAATCTACCCATACTGCCCACCTTGGATGAGTATATATCTGAATTAACCGAAGCATTTGGCGAGGAGTTTGCTGATCCTATGTTGGAACTTAAACAACTAAGACAAACTGGCACTGTGAGGGAATTTCAGTTTGCGTTTGATAGACTTTTTGCTCAGTGTAGCCTAACTGTTGAACAAGAGATTTCATGTTTCCTGGGGGGTTTGAAGGAAGAATTGGTTCACCCTATTAAAATGCATGAGCCAAAATCATTATCAAAAACTTATCGGTTAGCTAGGTTAGCAGAAACTACCTTAGCTGCCAATGTTAGAGCTTTGAAACACACGTCAACTGGGAGCTATTCATCAACTAGGAAGTCAGTCTATGACAGCATAGGGTTTAAAAATCATCAGTCTATACAACCAACTAGAATGAACTCTACTGCTAATGCTACTGCAATTCTTCCTAAAGCTAGGAGAACTATTTCTCCTGCTGAGATGCAAAGCAGAAGAGCTCAAGGCCTTTGTTATTTCTGCGATGACAAATTCACTCCTGGACATAAGTGCACTCTCCCAAAGTAAATGTTTGTGTTAGAACTGGAGGTAGCTGAGACTGAATGTGTTGACAATGTAATTAGCAGCACGGATAGTGAGCCATTAGGTGAGGATTGGTCCTCCCCTGGCAGTGAACAACCCTTTATTTCATTATGTGCTTTAACTGGGATTCAAGGTGCCCAAACTATCCATGTTACTGGTTATAGTGACAGAAGACCTATTCAAATTCTATTGGATAGAGGCAACACACACAATTTCATTGACACTAAATCAGCCAAGCGGTTGGGATGTACTATAATTCTAACTAAGGTGGGATATGTCAGTTTAGGCAACAACACAATGGAAGCCACATCTGGCATAGTGAGGAATTTCCAATGGATGCTAGAAGGTACAACTTATGAATCTAATTTGATTGTGTTTCCAGTTGGAAAATATGATCTAGTATTAGGTGCCTTATGGATGAAGACTCTTGGACCAGTAACTATGGACTACTCTGCCCTCACCATGACCTACAACTACTTGGGCAAACAATATGTATTGAAGGGAATTACGGATGCCTGCAAAATATCAAGCCCAAAAGCTGTCAACAAGTTTAATGGGGAGGATGTGAAACTTTTTATGCTGCAAGTTTTGGTTGATCAAACCCAGCCTGCTCAACTAAATGTCATTCAACTTCCAGCAAATGAGCCAGAATCACAGGTCTTGCATGATCTTCTTAATGACTATAGTATGATCTTTGCTGAACCTACCACTCTACCACCCTAAAGAGGTGCTTTTGATCATAGGATTCCATTGCAACCTGGGGTTAGACCAATTAATATTCGACCCTATAGGTACTCTTCTATGAAGAAGGATATCATTGAGAAACTGGTGAAGGAAATGTTGCAGCAGGGGGTAATCCAATATAGCAACAGTCCCTTCTCTTCTCCTGTGGTGGTGGTGGGCAAGAAAGATTGGTCATGGCCATTGTGTGTAGATTATAGAGAACTAAACCATTGCACTATCAAGGACAAAATTCCCATTCCCATTATAGATGACCTACTTGATGAGCTATTAGGGGCCTCCATTTTCTCTAAAATTGACCTCAGATCTGGGTACCATCAGATTAGAATGGTACCTGAGGATGTCCCTAAGACTGCTTTCAAGACTCACATGGGCCACTATGAATACTTAGTTATGCCCTTTGGTCTGGCAAATGCACCCTCGACTTTTCAGTGTTTGATGAATCATCTGTTCCTCAATTTCTTGAGAAAGTTTGTGCTGGTCTTTTTTGATGACATATTGGTTTACAGCCTCTCCTCAGCTGATCATATCTATCATTTACAGCAGGTATTTGAGGTTATGTTGCAACATAAGTTACTTGCTAAGAAATCCAAATGTGTGTTTGGTGTTCCAAGTGTTGAGTACTTGGGTCATTTTATTTTTGCTCAAGGTGTAGCTATTGATCCCCATAAGATAGCAGTTGTTAAACAATGGCTTGTTCCAACTAGTGTCAAATAGCTGAGGGGTTTTCTTGGGCTGGCTGGCTATTACAGGAAATTTATTCAAAGCTATGGGTTAATCAGCAGGCCTTTCACTGAGCTACTCAAGAAGGATAACTTCCATTGGTCTGCCGCTGCTGAACAAGCGTTTGCTGAGCTCAAGCAAGCCCTCACATCTGCCCCGGTCTTGGCATTGCCCAACTATTCCTTGCCTTTTGTTGTGGAAACTGATGCAAGTGGAGCTAGCATTGGTGCTGTACTGGTGCAGGCTGATCATCCTATAGCATTTATTAGTAAGGGTCTTGCTCTTAGGCATATGGCTCTCTCTATCTATGAAAGAGAACTCTTAGCATTGGTATTTGTTGTAACCAAATGGTCTCATTATCTTCTCAGTCGTCATTTCATCGTGAAGACTGATCAAAAGGCTTTAAAATATCTTTTGGAACAGAAGCTTCACACTGATTCTCAGATCAGGTGGTTAGCCAAACTCCTTCCTTTTGATTTCAAAGTTCA